TGCTGTGTTCATCCAGCTCAGCACCTTGTTGTCTCGGATTCTCCAGCATCGGCAGTTCCTACTATCTCAGAAGATGCTCTTTTGCTTTTTTCTCTTCTTGCGATGTATCTATCATTGGCAAGGTATGCATTTGCTGCCCATCTCTAATTGCCACTGCACTTAGTGGTTTGGTATTGTGTTTCAGAGGATAGTTAATAGTCATCCACATTGCTATCAATCTGGAGTCATATGTAAGCCAGATCAAGGAAGGATGGCAGATTTCCAACCCATTACTCACCTCCACCCTAAACCCTAAAGGATCAGATGGTTTTTAGAACAATTGACAATAGGTTCATCGTCACCATGATTGAGAAAAGCTTCTTTTTATTAACATATTATAAAGTTTTATTAATTGAAGTTAAATTCCAAGAAATGCTATGGTGGGATTTGAATCCATGAGCCCAGTGGGTGTTTCTGTTAGTCAGGAGGTCCAGTCCCAGTCCAGTCTGCGCACAGACAACATAGTGTGGAGCTGGAGGAACACAGCATGCCAGGCAGCAACAGAGGAGCAGGAAAGCTGACGCTACAGTATGGAAAGCAGGAACAGGTCAGTCCTGTAGCAGCATCACAAGCACTCAGGGGAATGATGTGATCGTCTTGGGTCTGGTCAGTCATAATCATTAGAGTTGGTCATAGGACTGGGGTGAATAGTCATCGGGGTTTGTGTGTTCATTGTTGAGGTGGATGTAGGGGGTCTTGTACCGTAGAATCCTAGAAACCCTGCAGTGTGGAAGCAGGCCATTCAGCCCATCAAGTCCACACCACCCTTCAAAGGGCGTCCCGAGACTCACTGTCCACCCCCCCCCACCCCCGATTCAGTTTGGTATCTCTGGAACTGCTGCCTCCAAACACCCCACTTTGGTTTTGCTGCGGGCCTTCATCATATTGAAATTGCAGAATTCTTCCCGTGTGCACAATGAGCTGTCCAGTACTTCAATCACATCATTACTAATTATGAACATCAATTATCAGGGCTGTTTTTTTTTGAGTGTAGAGACATCACAGCAAAGTTAATCTTCCAAACCTGGGTGACAAGGTGGTTATTATGGCCTGGATATTCCCATTTGTGGGCCAAGTTTGAAAGCGGAAAGGTTTTATGGAGAAACTCAGCCTGCCTTGTTCAGAAAGGAAGGGATCAAATATCTATCAGGCAACAATGGGCAGTCAGCCGGCTTCCTAATCAAATTACGAAGTCAGAGTAGGAAATTCCACTCATCTAGGCCTGCTAGCACATTAGAGCCCTGCATCTCTGGGGGTGCCACAGTGGCTCAGTGGTTAGCACTGCTGCCTTACAACACCAGGGAGTCGGTTCATATTCCACCCTCAGGCAACTATCTGTGTGGAGTTTGCACATTCTCCCTGTGTCTGTGTGGGTTTCCTCCCACAGTCCAAAGATGTGCAGGCTAGGTGAATTGGCTATGCTAAATTGCCCATAGTGTTTGGGCATGGGCATGGGTTGCTCTGAGGTTCAGTGTGGACTTGTTGGGCCAAAGGGCCTGTTTCCACACTGTAGGGATTCTAATGATCACCACAACTTGGCATGGTCTTTGGCTTCTTTCAGGGCACTTTTGCCTGGACACCTAGATGATCAGTGGCAAGAAAAGGGTGTTGTGTAGGTGGATGGTTTTTGGATTTGTGGGTGTTTGTGTTGGTTGGAGAGCTGTGCATCTCAGAAGTCACACCCCTGTCTTTAGTACAGTCCCCAGGATATTGCACAAAATTATTACAGATTGGATCCTTGACCATATCATACTGGCAGTGGTGTTTGGTCCAAAATGCTGCACTATAAAAGTTAGTTGATATAATCGACAGCAGAAGAATAGGGCCCAATGAGACATATGCCTTGAAGTTTATTAACAACATCACTATAAAGGTGTCAGACTTTCAGTCTAGGTTCTATGCAGTCTGATGCTTGATACATTACATGAATGTAACACTACAATGTAACTGACTGGAATGACTATACCACACTGAGTAAATTGCACTGATTACCTAAGGGCAGATGCAGACTTTTGTACCAAATGTCATTCAAATGTCTTAAAAGGTACACTGCCTTTCTGGGATCTGTTACATCAGAACATTAATTGAGGGACATCCCCCTATCTCAAGTGACACTGGTTTATGAGTTAGAGTCAGTGAACCTTTCTCGTCCTTGCTTGGAGCTCAAGTAATTACGGCCCAACTGGATGTGGTAAGGGCCTTAATTGGTGAGCAGTTCACAGAGGTCCATCATGAACTAATGAGAGTTGGGAGGAAGGGTTATCTCCCGTAGCCGACCTGCCCGATTATCTGTCCTTCCCCACCACTTCTCAGGCTGGGAAAAGACCCAGCCCATGAACTGAAATGAGGACCATATAATCAAGTAGCTGTGAACTGTTGCTTTTTAAAAATGTACCAATCCTGACAAACATAAAACAGCAACACTGGTGCAATTAATTTTTAATGCAATATTAAACATTAACGTGAAATGTCAATCTTTATATACATTCTATTAATTGGATGTTGAAGCCAATGTGTTACTAAGAAAATGCAAAACGAATTTTACAAGTAAAAATAAATACTGAATTTAGAACCAGTCACAAAAACTCAACAGCCCAGATTTCATTTCTAAAAGATTTAAACATGTAAACTTAATCCAGTAGAATACTTTCACTGTTATCACAGCCTTCATATGGTATAAAATAGAATTCTCTGTCTAACAGTCAGCATTTCTCAGTTCCCTTTCAATGAATTTACTATTACTGTTTAGATACCAGGAAATCTCTCTTCCTAGCTCCTGTCACATTCACGTCAAATTTTCTCTGCATTAAGTGCTACCCCAGTTAAAATACTGATAGGTGCACAAACGTTATAATAATCACCATTTACTGTAATTTCAGACATTATACAAATGCAATTTCATTCCTTTCACAGAGAGCACACCACAAAATATCTGCTCCACCAAAAGTGTTGTAAAATGCATAGAACACAGATTGGGGTCATTGAGACATGCCAACATTACATTGAATTCAATAAAATACACTTCCTTTTAATTTGGCCTCTACACTGCCATCCATGAAAGTTTGATATCGAAATATACAGGTAGCATGTGCCAAATTTGAAATTGCAACAACATTCAGCAATAGTGACTTCCTTTTAAAAGACCCTATTGTGTTAAAGCCTGCAATGGGTTCCCCCTAATCGTGAACCCACAACAGATTGCGACATTCATTGAAATAGCTTTGTTAATTAATTGATTGAACAGAAACAGACCCAAGGTGGTTTCATATCCATTCCTCATGTTTACTGGTACAGAGAAGGCAGGATACAATACCCACATTGATGTGTCTCTTCTAAGAAAATCTTGTGATCAAATATTGTGCTTGGTACAATTAAGCACAACCCAGCAAGATGCCCATGCTCTACCCACATTTATATTTAAATTCAGACCAGCTAGTATGCAGATTGCGTTACATTTTGCCCCAGTTGTGAAAAGCAGCCAGTAGCGGGAGAGCTTGAAGAGCATGAGCAGATGATCAATCATTAATAATCTTTTAGAATCTCGACATTACTCATCCTAACTAAATTATAGAAGAATGAGGATAACAAAATGGTTAGCAGCCTCATTGCTCTCAGCCAAATTCAGCCTGAACTAAAACCCTGTCACCTTTGATGGACAGATTCAGAATATTCTTGGAACAGGCCATTGACTAACAAGTATCCATCTTGTGAGATGGATACCAGTTCAAAGAAAGCTTGATCATGGTCAGAATGCTGGTAATCAGAATGGCGACATGAAAGATAAAGTCTATAACATCTTCCTTTCCCATCTTGTACAACTATGTTGAAGTAACGAGACAATACAAGGGGACAGCATTTAAAAAAAAAAAATCATGAGCAACTGAAACAAAACAATCAAGATTGGTTACTCATCCTAGGCCTAACATTTGGTGCACTCCAGACTGTGGAAGTAAGATAACATCCAATTTAAATTTAGAAAAAAAGTGTGTGGATAGAGAAATAGGACTGCTCTTTCAAGTTTCTTTACAGGATTCCCATTACTGCAATTGGCTCAATTCTATATTTTGATTTTCGGGTGGCTATACTATTTTCTACAACTTAGAATGTCCCATGTCCCAGTGACAACCGGAAGAAACTTTTACAGGATTGGATGAAGCAACATTATCTTTATCACAACACTGAATAACTCCTCTCTTCCTTTCTGGGTTTAAGAGAAAATGGGACAATAGAAAACCTTTTTTTATAACACTTGATTGCTTCTTATGATCAAAAGATATTATGATGTCAAACCACCCTTGAAAGGGTGATTCTACCGAGATTCTACCAGAACTGTCTGTTCAAGCATTGGCTGTGATTAATATTTTCAGATTATCCTTTTTAAAAACATTTCACAATCAAGGCTGTGCATCAAGATTTTAGTGTCAACGCTGATCAGAAACAGAGGCTGGATCACAAGTCTCTATTTCTGAGAGAGTTCAAAATTCAAATCATTGCAAATTTAAAAAAAAAGGCCAAAGTTGCACACTCAGGTGGGGTGTGGAGAATCTAGTTTCCAGTCTTCGGTTCCCTTCTCAAGGCAGGTTTCAGGATACAGTCTTTGCTTTAGTACGAGCTGGGTGCAGTAGCATGAAAGCTTGGTAAATGACTTCTAGGTTAGGCTGGCGGTGGAGCTGCAGGTCCCACTGTTACGTTTCTGCAGCGATTTGACAGCACTCGGTACCTGAAGCCCCGTTTGCACAATAAAACTACCACACCAGACCTGTGGGGTGGGGGAAGAAAAAAAGAGATATAAATCAACATTATAAAACATACAACAGATTGTCGGAGTGTGTTTTGTGGGGCGGGTGGAGAGGAGCTGTGACCATCCAGCAGAAACCAGAAGACGAATTGCAGAGACGGTGAAGTATATTTGGAGAAGGGACAGCGAGTGGTAGAACCATATATAAGCATGGAGAATTTCAGAGTACAGATGTGGAAATGGTGACCCAGTCATCATTTATACAAATTCATTTTTGTGTATTTATTTTAACTGACCCCCCAATGCGTGGAAGAGATAGGTTTAGGGAGGGCCCCACTTCTACAAAATATTCCCTCAACGTCCTGATGTGAAGACGATTAGAAAACAAGCAAGCCTCCCTGTCTCAACAAAGACACTCAATGATGAAACTCCTGTTTCTATTACTGGAGGCAAAAGTAGACTTAGGTAGGGTGACATTTATTTTAATTCAACTGCAAATTCAGACCAGCTAGATTCAAAGGGTCCTCCAGGGATACCAAGATGACTTCGTCTGACGAAGGAGCAGTGCTCTGAAAGCTTGTAATTTCAAATAAACCTGTTGGCGTGTGACTTCTGACTCTCTCTCCAGAGACTGTGTTGGACTGCCGAATATTTCCAGCATTTACTCCTTTTATTACACCACTAAATAAAGTTTCAGAACCTCAGATCACAAACCACTGAAGCTGTGCAGCCCCGTTGTAAGTACAGAGAATCAAGGCAGTAATGTCAGTTACTTGGTCACCTTTCCATTTGAATTCTATTCAACAAATGCATGCAGACAGAAAATCTAGCACTGTGAGAGAGTACAGCACTTACCATGAAGGCAGGGAGGATAGGCTGTGTGAACTTTGTTTTAAATGAATGAATCAGTTGCTTAGTTTTGGCATTGTAGAATGACAGGTGACCTAGAACAACAAAAATAGAAAAAAAAAAGTTTTACAAATTGCCTCAAGTAAAATTACCATCTTCCCGAACTTTGGAATCGAAACCAGTGCTGATCTCACTCCTCCATAAACCTCTGAGAAGGAAGACCCCACATTGGAATGGGCTGCAGCAATCATTGCTTGGAGTTTCCATTCTGTTGTTGGAGTATCATCCACACTTTCCTCCCATGTAGATGCGTGCACTGCACTGACTGAAAGGCATAGAATGTGGCTGTTGAAATACATCTCTACGCTAGCTATTAGTATTGCCTATATTGACCTGTAATTCAGTATATTGAGAAACATCCTTCCAGTTTTCTTTTTCTGTGTGCTGCTCCCTTCCTCAGTTGCATTGTTGCTATTTCATAAATTGCTATCTAACTGAAAAGTACCCAGACAACATCATTGAGTTCAAGTGAAAAACCAGCTTCAGTTAATGGTGTAGAAGTAAAATACTGCAGATGCTGAAAATCTAGAATAAAAACAGAGTGTGCTGGATAGAGATAGTAGGAACTGCAGATGCTGGAGAATCCGAGACAACAAGGTGCAGGGCTGGATGAACACAGCAGGCCAAGCAGCATCATAGGAGCAGAGAGGCTGACGTTTCGGGCCTAGACCCTTCATCAGAAAAGGGGGAGGGGAAGGGGGTTTTGAAATAAATAGGGAGAGAGTGGGAGGCGGATAGAAGAGGGATAGAGGAGAGGATAGGTGGAGAGGAAACAAACAGGTCGAAGAGGCGGGGATGGAGCCAGTAGGCAGGTGCTAAGGAAGGTGATGTGGCTGTAGTACCTGGTTTGCTTCAGGATGTGGTCGAGCAGTTTCAGGGCCGAAGAGATTACGAGAGAGTTGCAGTGGGAGAGAGATCCCTTGAGGTTTGTCCGGAGGGAGGAGGGTAACTTCTTCAGGTTAGGCATCCTTAGAAGAGGCTTCGCAGTGGGGTTAAAATTGAATCAGAGATAGTAGGAACTGCAGATGCTGGAGAATCCGAGACAACAAGGTG